GCGCGCGCCGAGCCGAGCCCAGCCGAGGCGCGGGGCCGGGTGCCGGGTGCCGTCCGGCGGCGGGGTGCCGCGGGCGCGGTAGAGCCGGTGCCGCCGCCCCGTCCGAACCCTGGATCGCAGGAGCCCTTCACCATGCCCGGCAGACTGTAGGTGCTTCATGGAGCAAGCCAACTTCTACGAGGTCGAGTCCCGGCCCCCGATGAGCAGCGCCCAGCACCACCAGCTCCAGACCCCCCTGCTCGGCAGCGCCTACGGCTACAGAGAGGCTCCCTCGGCGGCGGCACCTGCTGCGGGCGGCGCTGAGCTCGGCGACATCTGCGAGAACGAGAACTCCATCGACATCAGCGCCTACATCGACCCCGCCGCCTTCAACGACGAGTTCCTGGCCGACCTCTTCCAGCACAGCAAGCAGCAGGAGAAAGCCAAGGCCATCCTGGCCGGGGATTTCGACTTCCACAGCATGCATGGGGCCGGCGCCGCCGCCTCGGCGCCGGGGCACCCGCCGCAGCACCACCAGCAGCCGCTCTTCGGCTGCGTGGCCGGCTACATGGACGGCAAGCTGGACCCTCTCTACGAGCGCATCGCCGCCCCCGGGCTGCGGCCGCTGGTCATCAAGCAGGAGCCCCGGGAGGAGGAGGAGGTCAAGTCGGCCGCCCTCTCGGCCCTCTACCCGCACCACGCCGCGCAGCAGCACCCGTCCCACCTGCAGTACCAGATCGCCCACTGCGCCCAGACCACCATGCACCTCCAGCCCGGCCACCCCACGCCGCCCCCCACGCCTGTGCCCAGCCCGCACCACCCGCACCACCCGCACCCCCCCGGCGGCCTGCCCGCCGCCGCCGGGCCGCTCAAGATGATGCCCGCCGACCACCGCGGCAAATCCAAAAAGACAGTGGACAAGAACAGCAACGAGTACCGGGTGCGCCGGGAGCGCAACAACATCGCGGTGCGCAAGAGCCGGGACAAGGCCAAGCAGCGCAACGTGGAGACGCAGCAGAAGGTGCTGGAGCTCACCACCGACAACGAGCGGCTGCGCAAGCGGGTGGAGCAGCTCACCCGGGAGCTGGAGACTCTGCGGGGCATCTTCAGGCAGCTGCCCGAGAGCTCGCTGGTCAAGGCCATGGGCAGCTGCGCCTAGCCCCGCGCCCCCGGCCGCCCCCCGCGCCCGCACGCACCTCTACCGGAGCCCCGCGCTCCCGGACGGCCCCGGGGGAGAGGGGGGCAGAGAGGGGGGAGGGTCTTCTCCCTTCTGTTTGCGTTTTGTTTCGTTTGTTTGTTTTTTAACAGTTGACGACCAACACGAGAAGCCAGGCAGCTGTAGTATTAAAGGGTTTGTGCCTTAGGGATGACACACGAATAAGCTGAAAACATGGTGGGTTTTATAAGGAGAAGGGCGAAGGGAAGGACGAAATTGGAAAGCCCACATGTCTACACAGGGTAAATAACAGTAACAATAATAATAATAATAGTAATAAAGCACGCATAGCAATCCGGATGTGCCTTAAAAGCTGGCTGCAGGAGCTGCGGGGCGTTCTGCTCCCCCCAGCCTGGCAGAGCGCGAGGGAAAGGCGTGAGGGACGCGCAGGCTCGAGGTGCGGGGTGTCTGGGGGTGCCAGCCAGGCCCGCCCCGTCCAGCCTGCGGGGCAGCGGGCAGGGGCAGCGCCGGGGAGGCCGGCGAGGAGAAGGGGCTGAGGCTGAGGGATGTGCAGCGCCGGGCGCCCATGGGGAGCACCGAGGTGTGGGGCAGCTGCCGGACGTGGTGCCAGGACTCTGCCAGCCTGGCTGGGCGGCCTCTGCCCAGCCCTGCCCCTGCTGCTGGACCCACGGACGGCCCAGGACCCACGGAGCAGCAGCTCGTGTGGGAGCGTGGGGAGCTCCCTCCACCAAAAGGAAGAGCAGCAGTGTCTTGTACTGTATGTCACGACGTGGCGAAGCACAAATGAATAAATACCTATCGATGCGGGTATTTACTATGAACTTTCAGCATATTTTGCTTTATTCCAAGACATTTAGCTCCTCTCCGAGTCTCTGTCTGTCCAAGCTGTGCCTCATGTAATGTGAAAGCCTTCCCGTGTATACTAGCTACACTTTATTTTTATTGCATTACTTAGATCTTTGCCATCACACGACTTTCTTATCTGGTGACAGAGACTATGCCCTTGTGCTGCAATGTTATTTTATTATTTGGGTGGGTGGGTGAGCGTGAGTGTGTGTTGCCTTCTCCAGGCTGTCCGGGGCCGGCCCCGAGGGGGGGTGCAGGCTGGGGGGCTGCAGGCCGCCCGCCGTGGGGCAAGGAGGCTCGTCCCTGGCGCTGCAGCACCTTTGGACTCTGGAGCTTCTCCCAGGGCGAGAGAAAAATAACCAAACGACCGGGCCCCCGTGCAGGGAGCGCCGCAGAGCGTTCCCCCCGGGGGGCGGCCGCAGCAGGGCCCCTCCGGGCGGGACGGGGCGGGAGAGGTGCGGCCGTGAGAGAGCGGGAGCTGGGCGTGCGTGTGTGTGCGTGTGCGGGCGGTGTGCGTGGGTGTGTAACGTGTATGTATATGCACACACGTCGGTGGGGTTTGTTTTGTTTTTTT